CCCCAAACTCGGTTTTCACAAGATGATGCCATTGTCTATCACCATTGTCCATTGCAATTGTTTCACATTAGACATTGAACGATGCCAAATTGGTCTACATCGCCCAACCATATTAAAGTCCATCCAATAAGCCTAGCTTGTAGTGGACATGGTGTACAATGAAAAATATAAGACTAAAAAACTGTATTTCAGTGTTATGTATTTTCTCGCACAAGTACAGTAGTTCCATGTGAAGCTTGAATTTTGTTCATAAAATGTTTGGAGTTACTTTTGCAATGCTAACTAATGACAAAATATCAACCCAGACTCATTCTGAAAATGTACCCATATATACATTTCTGGAGAGCGGCAGTATGTTTTTTTTTTTTTTTTTTCGCAAATCCACCAGAGGCCACTGTGTATGCTATTTGAGATCTCAAATTAGTCTCGCGAGTGCCATTCATGCCTGCTGTTCTCGCGTAAATCCACAAGAGGCCGTTGTCGACTGACTGACTGACTGACCGACCGACTGACTGACTGAGCAATTGACTGACCAACCCTCTTTCTTCTGTGCAAAGCACAGATTGTACCCCCAGCCCACTTCCCTAAACCCAATCGACAGTTTTAAAAAGCAATCCAGAAAAAGAAAAGCCCTAACCTGATTTTTACCACGTTTCCAGATTTTACCACATTCTCACCCTGTTATTTAATTTTTATTATTATTTTTTTTTTTGGCTTCTGTTTTTGTTATACCTGCTTTCTGGAACCGTTTTTCGCCGGACTCAAACCCCATCATCGTGGTCAACTCTTCTCTACTTCTCACGTCTGCTGATGTACATGACAAGCTACTGGACAAACTGGTAACAGCTGGGAAGCCATCGATATGGAGATAAGCAGTCAGCTTGTAAGGGTGCCCCATACCGCCCCATAGCATTTGTTTTTAAGACCAAATGCAGCCATATGTACTTCTGGCTACATGATTTGTGATCTCAGGAAATGTAAATAGGGCTATGTTTTCAGAATGAGCCTATAGCCCCTTTCACACATACAGCAATTTTCCGGAAAGGTTGTATGTGTGAACAGGTCCTTTTTGAAAATACCGGTAAATTCGTTCTGGCTATTTTCCGGAAAGAGAAGTTGTAACATTACCGGCAATTTGCCGGAATGCTGCGCTGTGTGAATGCAGAAGGAAGATTCCCGTAATAAGCGCGTGCACGTCTAGAACGTGCTGACGTGAGACGTCTGCTTTAGCTAATCACAACAGTCAGACGCATTTACCTCCGCGCGGATTGTGAGGGTTTCTGAGGTTTTAGCTGCTAGAAGTTAGTCAGATCACGTTTATATGTTCTTCTTAATGCCAACTGTGTAAATAATCATCGATGAGATGCTTATGATAAGCCGTTGTTTGTTTACCTTCAAGCTTTGCGTGTGCCTGTGAAACAGCCTGTGAGTGCCTGCACACGCACATATTCACAATATTGATCATCCACAGATTTGTAATTTAGTAAAATGTTTACAAACACAAGCACAGCCGTTTAAAGCTCATTTGTGGTTAATGATGTCAGAATTTACCGGTATTTTGGAATGGATGTGTGAATGCTCTTTTCCGGAAAATTTCCGTAACGTCCTCGCCTGTGTGAACATCGCTTTTTTGAATATACCGGTAAAGTCGTTCCGGAAATTTTCCAGAAATTTACCGGTATCACTGTGTGAAAGGGGCTTATGTTGCAACATATGGTACAGCCAGTAGTAAACATACACCCTGTCAAAATGACCAGGAAGAGAAATCATCATTTGCAAATAAAGTCGTTTTTGGTGCACCAAAGTCTTGTTGGAGCTGCGTATGACTGCACTTAAATCACTGAAGACACATGGAATGTTTTGACAATATTTTTGGTTCCCTTTTCTGGACTTTAAACATCTCGGGACTACTGCTGTCTGTGGAGGATCAGAGAGCTCTCTAATTTCATCCAAATTATCTTCAGTTATGTTCATCATAGTATGTTCCTGCACAACAGGAGAATCTTGAAAGCGTTTATAGGAATGCATTATTAATGCAATCCTACCAGACACGGATGAAGCAACTTATGAAGTGTGGATGAAGCGTTAAGCATGAGTGATTTACATGTTAAGTCAATGCAAAGATATCCTGCGACGCTACATCTTAAGTCGATGCATGTTAGGTCATTTACATGTTAAGTCAATGCAAAGACATCCTGCAACGCTATTATTTTGGCCATTTGGTGCACTTAACGCACCAAAAATGTAAATAATATACTTGTCTTTACCTAAACAATTAAGTAAAGTTGACTGAAAATAACTTAAAATTTAACATTTTGGTCCTATCACTTCAAAATATGAGGTAATTTAACTTGTGTACCATGAAATTCATAAACGTAAGATTTCAAGTGTCACGATTACCAGCGATCGGATTCCATAAGATCGCTGGTTCTCACTCAGCATAGCCTTGGACTACAATTCCGCCATTGTTGGACTACATATTCATACATGCACTCCATATTCATACATGCCTCCTCATCTAGACTTGATTACTCGCACCACCTGAGGATTGTCAGAGGCTGATTGCACACACTACTTAAGCCACACACTCACCTATTCAGTTTGCCGAGTCTTGTTTACTGTCAGTAGCACTACAACGCGTTTCCCAGTCTTGTTATCCTGTGTACCGACCTTAGCCTTGTTAGCATCCTTGTCTTTGCCTGCCGCCTGCCTTTGACCTTTCGCCTGTTACTGATTACGATTCTGGACTGCCTTCACATACCCGTTGGTACCTGTATTGACCATTGCTTGCCTGATGACGAATAAACCTGCATTGTGGATCTTACCTCAGTTGTATGTGTCACTCCCCGTGGTTAAATCAAGTCTAGTGAGCTCAAAATCATGATTAATTCTTTGAAAACAATAGGTCATTATCTCAAATGTAGTCTTGACTGTGAAATTCCAACCAAACTTGGTACTAAGTTTGGTGAACTGAAAAATTTAAGCA